GAGAGAAGCGAAGAGTGGGATTCTGAAGAGGATCCTGAGGAAAAAGATTTCGGCATATCTAAGAAAAGGGATATTGAAATTTGAGGATGATGAATCGCACAAATGTGTTTTATTCACAAGTAGTATAGTGAATGATACTGGTAGAGTTGGTGTGAACCAATCTACATATGGATGAATTTTCGTATCATGTCTTAAGGAGTTAATTGAAAAGTACTCTTTAGGAGTTTGGGAATCGGATGGAGTTCTTGTCAGAACAAAGATGTGATTTTATATCACATTCTGGAGCGTACGGGAATTAGGATGTAACGTGCTAAGTTGCTTTAATAAAGCCACGATAGACGGTTTGCGTATTAGGTGGATGAGGGTTAAGCCATTGGATAGTTGCTTAAGCAAACGATTGTGCAGTTAAGTGACGGTTAATGGATCGGTTTCAGGATTGGATAATTACCAACGAAACTATGGAACAGACTTTTGCGAACTTGAGTTCAAAGAAGGTTTCTTCTTTGGAATGGAGGATATCTTAAAAATGATTATATTTTGGTTGTTTTATGTGTTGTGTGTATCTACGTGTTTCATTTCTGTTATTATATGTGTCATTTTGATTGTTATGTGTTTCGATTTTGATATTACGTGTTCATTTTTGTTAATTAATCCGGATTAGGAGTTTGGATTGGTCGGGGACACAAGTATGTGTTCACTTTTGGATTTCGCATTAGTTCTACATGGCACTTACAATGGAGGAAATACTTGGGATAGGTATCCTAGGTTTTTATGGGAAGTTGTAAGTGTTTTTTTCACTTCTCATATTGTTGGCACAGGGAGGATAGTATGATAACGTAAAAGGTTTTGTAATTTATACGGTGCAGACTTCTTACCTGTTGGTTTGACATGGAAGCGGGGGGTTATACAATTAGACCCTAACTTCATTTAAGGATACATTAGAGAGATATACTCTTCTTTGTAGTGGATTACGCGCAGTTTGGAGGCGGTAATAGGATATGGTAACTAATTCCATTCATACACTAACGATTTTCCTGTTAAGGAACAGTTGATTGGGTTGTCTTCCATATCGGAAGCAAGGAGCGTGATTAAGGAAGGTCAGTTTTTATGTCTTAATTAGATTGATTTTTTATGGATGGTGTTTCTCCGTTTAAGCGGTAACCTATCGATTTGTGTTTTCAAACATTGGGATGGGATGCATAGAAGTTTTACATATCTATGTTATGGAACTTGTAGGAATATGGACCTCTACCCTATATCAAAATTTGGGTACGGATGAGTAGTTGTTAAATACAACTTACATGTTGGATAATTTTTGTGTGTCATGTATATCGGACATATTTATTTTTCTTTATGGATTTGGAAATCAGTGGAGCCCTTACACGGAGGCAGAATCCACAACGGAATGGAGTAAAAAGTTTAATCAAACTAATTCAGAGTTTCGTGAATTCCGAGGACGGAATTCCATTTGTTAGGGGGGAAGAATGTAATACCCCTAATTTCAAAAGGGATAAAAATGGAATTTAAATTTTATTTTTGTACATTTTAAATTGATTTTGTATCTATATGCTTATGTGTCCAATTGTTTGTTTATTTTAAGTCATTGTGTTATTTTTTTTAATTGTTTGTTTATTTTAATTAAGGGTGTAATTCTTTATTTGTTGGTTTATTTTAATTAATTGTTTTATTTATTTTATGTGTTTTAAGTGATTCGTTGCTTGCTTATTTGATTTAATTAATGGGTTTTATTAAATTAATTATTTATTAAGTATTTAATTTTTGAACAGGGTAATTATGTAATTCCCAATAACTAGGGTTTTAGATACGTTTTAGTTAGGGTTTTTGGAGCCGTCTCATAAGCATCTGATATGTAACTAAACTGGGTTACTTTGTGGGCCGACGAAGTTAGGGCTCTGTGGATTAGGGTTTTAATCTTGCAATTATAAATACCTCAGTATATGTTAAACCTAGGGTTACATATTGTCGTAGCTTTTACACGGAAAAGTCTACCAAATAGAGAGAGTTACAGAGGGAGTTTTGGTGAGAACAGAGCAGTTTGTGAGAATTTCGACTGGGGTTCCAAGGTTTAACCAAGGAGAAGGAAGGAGCAGAGGTTCTAGGAGGTTAGACAAGTTTCAGTGGATGTCGGAAAAACTGAGACCAACGGCAACAAGGGTTTGTTTGCAAACCTATTCAGGCAAGTTCTATCTTCCTCTTTCCCTTTGAGCCGTGTTCTGTGCACCTAGATATGCTCTAGGGTTTTAAGGAAATTAACAACTAAATCATTCATGTATGTTATACATCAAATTAATCATATGTATGCTTTGAATTATTTCTGTGATGATTTCTGCAATATCTGTTACAGTGCCTGCAAGTTGGTTCAGTTTTATGTCCTTTAAGCATGAGGGTTCTTGTCGTAGTTTTTGTCTCTATTTTTTTTATTGCAACTACTGTAAACTAAGTATGGAAAGACTACGGGAGTTATGTAAATCTCATAGGAAGGTTGCTATTTCTGTTTTAGATCTCTGTTGCATTTTGCTTCGTTGTAATCCATGCATGAGGTTTCAGTTTTTGCACAAGTTTACTTCTGTTCATTGATTTAAATTGCTATAATCAAACCCTGGGGATGCTATTAGGAGGGTGTTAGATCCTTTAGATCAGTTTAAGAAACAAGCAGAGGGGTAGGAATTGATCGGAGAAGGGGCAGATTGACAGAAACGGAGCAGGGATGAACTGGAGGCTCTCAAGAGGGAGAGAGCCGGCTCTAGGAAGTCAAGAGCCGGCTCCCCTTCAGCAAGAGCCGGCTCCTAGGGAATTGGAGCCGGCTCCAATAGGGGAAGAGCCGGCTCTTCCATTCCAAGAGCCGGCTCCAATTTGTTTTTACGTCCAGAAAGTGTTTTTAGGGCTCTGTTTGGTGTTTTGAGCACTGTTTGAGCTTCTGAGTGATTCTAATGAACTGTAGGGACTTAACAGAGGATCTAAGTAGTTAATTCTAAGTGATATTAAACTTATTGTTGCATAGTTTAAGTCTCTAAGACAAAGGATGAAGTAGTGTAAAAATATACCACGGTGTATGCTACTAACAGAGAAAGGAACTAAATGGCTTGATTAAATTTTAGAAATTTAATGAGACTTCACGGAGGGATTAAATAGTTAATTTTTGGGTGTTATTAAGACCCTAAATTGATTTAAGGTTAATTCTAAATTAACGAATCAAACTGTATAACACTTATGTACATTGTATACGGTTAGTGGATAGAAGAAGTTTTAAATCCTTAAGCTTATTTTTAGGCATTCCAGTGGGATTTAATATATTTATAAAATGGTTTTAAATATATTATAGGGTCATTGATGTGTTAGATGTGATCTATGCAGGCTCTGGATGTTAGTTGTTGATTTATTAAATCATCTCCTGCAACAATATGGTTAATTGTTTGGATTTAAATTGCTGAAACACTTAAAAATCTTCTGTAATTATTTGGATATTGGTTTTGGATTGTAAATTATTGTACTGTTATTTATAGCCTGTAATTTACATAGTTTTGGATTTATGTTATTGGAATACTAAATACTATTCTGCAATGATATGGATGGTTAGTTTTGGACTATAAGTTACGTGCTTATTATTTATGACTTGTAATTTACCTGGAATTATGTATTGGAACATAATTGCTGAATTCTTATACTTAATTCGGTTAATTATTTAGAATCATATATTGGATTATATTTGTTGAATTCTTATATTAAATTTGACCAATTATTTGGAATTATGTATTGGATTTTAATTGCTGAATTCTCACATTAAAATTCTGTCAATTATCTGGGTTTGGTTTTGCATTGTAAATTACTTGCTTATCATTTGAATGTTGTAATTTACATGGATATGGAGGATGGTATGCACCGGTATGGGACGGTGGCATACTAGGTATGGTTTAGCTCAAAATGCTAATTCCTACCTTATGGATTTTAATTGGTGAACAGTATGACTGGTTCTATCAATTATATGGACTTTGTGGATTGTATGCACCGGTATGGGATGGTGGCATACTAGGGACAGACTGATTTAAAATACTCAGTCCTACCTATTTTGGAATAAGGGAACGAATTGTTAAATAAATCCTCCTTATATATATATATATAAGTCGGTACGGTTGAATACGCCGAATAACTTATTGGATTTCTTGTGAATGGTTAGGAACAGAGTTTAGATATATATGTTTATGATACCACGAGTTGAGCTTGAGTCTCAAACTTGTTGGTTAGGGTGCGTATATGCAGTGGATGTGTAGCTGGTTATAGTAGGTTGGGTGTACCCTGTTAGGTCTAGGTACTCATGCCCACCTTTGGGTGCGTATTCGCATGTTGCCTTCTATTCAGGTTGAGATCCCTACTGTAGTTTAGTGAATGTCCCATAGTGTGGATATATATATGTATGGACTAGATAGATATTGTGAGGTATCTATGGTGTATCTGCGTATCGGGTCACTGTATGGATTGCAGTTAGATTAGAACTTGCTCGTGGGCCTGACCCACCCTTTTATTATTTTTTTCAGGTGTTCGTCAGTTCTGGGCTGTAGAGCTTGATCGTGCTGAGCAGATACAGTTATTCACTCTACTGATGGCGTAGGATTTTATTTCATGTTAAGACTTGGGTTTTGTTCCAGTCTTTTGAGTACCATTGGATATTTTAGGGGTCCACTAGATGGATTCCCGAGTTGTATAAATTGGAGAACGATTTCCATTCGTGGTGGATCAATTGTATCAAAATAGTTTTAATTATCAATGAAATTATTTATTCTGAGGTTTTCAATTATTGGATTATCATTCTAGGTTCTTTTCAGCAAAGTTTTATTTATTCTTGTTTTCTATATTGTATTCTGTGTTCATTAAATTACTAATTATTTTGATATCCTTGGGTAATCGGGCGTGGGCCTGGCCAACCCGCATCTGGAAATTCGGGGGTTTCACATGGATCGATTGGAACTTTTGAATGGGTGGTAATGCCTTTTGGGTTGAAGAATGCTGGTGCCACATATCAGCGAGCCATGAATTATATTTTTCATGATATGCTCGGCAAGTTTATGGAGGTATATATTGATGATGTGGTGGTAAAGTCAGCAATGAAGAAGGAACACTTAGTCCACCTTAAAGCATCTTTTGAGAGGATGAGGGCTCATAAGCTAAAAATGAATCCAATAAAGTGTGCCTTTGGAGTATCGACAAGAAACTTTTTGGGTTTCTTGGTTCATCAAAGAGGTATAGAGATCGATAGCAATAAAGCTAAGGCGATTATTAATGCTAGTGCGCCAAGAAGCAAGAAACAGTTGCAAAGGTTACTGGGGCAAGTGAATTAACTTAGGAGATTTATTACAAATACAGCTGGGAAGTTACATGTGTTTTCCCCGTTACTCAAGTTGAAGCTGATGGAAGAATTCAAATGGGATGATATACATCAAAGGGCATTTGACCAGATTAAGAAATACTTTTCCAGTCCTCCTGTTATGATGCCACCAAAGAAGAAATGGCTGATGAAGTTATATTTATCAGCTGCTGAAAATCCATTGGAGCTATGTTAGCCCAAGAGAATGAGGCAGGAAGTGAACAAGCAATATATTATCTCAGCCGAGTTTTAACTCCAGTCGAGTGTAGATGTACACCGATTGAGAAATTATGTTTGGCTTTGTATTTTGCAGCAATGAAATTAAGAGTCTATATATTGCCTGTTTTGGTTTATATTGTTCGCCAAACCAATCTTATAAAGTATATGCTAACAAGGCCATTAATCACAGGCCGGATTGGTAAGTGGGCTTTGGCACTAATGGAATTCAACTTTGCATATGTTCCACAAAAGGCAATTAAGGGAAGAGCATTGGCAGATTTTCTTGCTGATCATCCCTCGCTTGAAATTGAGTCACAAGTATTTGATGAGCTTAACTCGGCATCCATATTCATGACTCCGTGGACTTTAATGTTCGATGGGTCAAGTACCAGTGAAGGCTCAGGAGCTGGTATAGTGATAATATCCCCAACAGGGAATCAAATTTCGTTTTCCTTCTTTTTGGATTTCAGGTGTTCAAATAATCAAGCCGAGTATGAAACATTAATTATCGGCTTGGAAATTCTATTGGAAATGGCAGTCAAAGATGTCCACATTGTGGGAGATTCGAGTTTAGTGATTAATCAAATTTCAGACAACTTTAGATGTTTGAATTGGCAATTAAGACCATTCCATTCATTGGCAACCCAATTGGTTAATCAATTTCACAATGTGACTTTGGAATATAGACCAAGGGCCATGAATAAACTAGGTAATGATTTAGCACAGACAGCTTCAGGAGTTAGAGTGCCGAGTGGAATGAAGGAAAGAGTAATGAAGATTACATGCCGATCTCTTCCATCAGCTGAAACAAGAAATTGAATTATGGAAGGGGTCTTTGCCACTGATGTTGCCAAATTGGATGATGATGATTGGCGAATTCCTTACATCTTGTTCTTGCAACATCCAATTCCTGAAGCCGATCGAAGAATTAAAAGAAGTGCAGTCAATTATGTGCTTATGGATGGAGATCTTTATAGAAGATCAGCTGATGATGGTTTGTTATTTCAGTGCATTAGCAAGTTTGAAGGTTTGAAGATTATGGCTAAGGTACATGAAGGGATATGTGGAGCTCACCAAGCTGGCATAAAAATGAGGTGGTTAATACGCCGATATGGATATTATTGGCCAGGAATGAGAAAAGATTGTATGACTTATGCAAAAGGCTGTATAGACTATCAAAAACATAGTCCAATGCAGTGGGTCCCAGCAATAGAAATGCAATTACTAGTTAAACCATGGCCTTTCAGAGGTTGGGCTATGGATCTAATCGGCAAGATTAATCCTCCTTCATCAAAGGGTCATCATTGGATTATTCTAGCTACTGATTACTTTACTAAATGGGTAGAGGCCGAGGAATATGTATCGGTAACTCATAATACCGTTATACAGTTTTTGGAGCGATATATCTTTCACCGATTTGGATTACCGAAAACAATTATTGTCGATAATGGTTTTGTTTTTCGAGCAAATGAAGTATTACAACTTGGCCGTGATATGCAGGTAAAAATGGTAACTTCAACACCCTATTATGCTCAAGGGAATGGTCAGGCCGAGGCTTCAAATAAAGTTGTTATTGAAATTATTGAGAAAATGATAAAAGACAAGCCGAGGCGTTGGCATGAAACCCTTTCAGAGGCCTTATGGGCTTATAGAAAATCAAAAAGGACAAGTACAGGAACAACTCCATATCGGCTAACATTTGGTCATGATGCGGTGTTGTCGATGGAGTTAAATGTTAAATCGGTAAGGGTAGCTTTGCGACATAATCTAATACCTGCTGATTATAACGAAGCTATGCTTACCGAGTTGGAAGACTTAAATGAAGTCCAAAAACTTGCTTTGGATCACCTTATGGTACATAAAGCAAAAGTAATAAGGGCTTACAAAAAAATGGTGAAGTTCAAGTCATTTGCAGAAGGTGATATGGTATGGCAAACAATTCTTCCACCTGGAAGGTGGATAGAGTTTATGGCAAGTGGTCACCTACTTGGAAGGGTCCATATTTAGTTCATCAAGTATTGCATGGAGGCGCTTACAGGTTAAAAGATCTAGATGGTGAAATCCATGAGAAGCCAATAAATGGGAGATACCTTAAAAAATATAAGCCAACTATTTTTGAGCTCATGGAAGAAAAGAAAATTCTAGTAAGTCAAAATAGTGTGGATTGTATTTTTATGCAAGGTATGTGAAGATAAAGTTTGCTCCTGTGATAAATAAGTAGTAGCATTAATATATATTGTGATAGATAGATTGTTCAAAGAAAATTAACTTATTTCCAAAAGATTGTTAGAAAACCACATTACAGACCCATAATAATTGTCATGAGATGATAAAAATTCAAGGTTGATTAAATTTTTGATGAAATTCTTCAAATTGGGCTTTGAAACTTGCCCATGATACTCTGGTCTGATCGAGCTTTGTTTCTGCCTGCTTCTTGGACTGCTCCAACTTTGGAATTCGAGTCTGGAGTGCTTTGAACCTTGGGGCAGCAACTTCTGCTTCTTTCTTTAGTTCTGCCACTTTGTTGCTGAGTTGTGATTTGTCTTTTTGAAGCTGAGCTAGTTGTGCTTGAAGCTTTTTCTCCCTTGCATCTAGTTCAGCAGCTTTTCTTTTCAATGACAAGTGCAATTCTTTTCCGTTTTTCAAAGATTGAGCAAGTAGTTCTTTTTCTCGGGTCTGAGCAGCATAATGGTTGAGAGTTTGAGTAGACTTGGCATAAACAGTAATCATGGAAGGGACTTGAAGTTGGAAGTTCTTGAAGAGAGCTTGGTCACCTAAAGAGAATCTTGGGTAACGACTCAAGAAGGACAAGGTTTCAGTTAACTCATTTTTGAATGAAGGGGCTAAAGATAAGTCTTGTTGCACCGTTTGGGACAAGATTTGGATGGCTTTTGTTACTTCTGGGGGTGTGTCAAAGGTTTGTTCAGTTGGAATTTCAAGAGGTTCAAGATCAGGTGAGTCAAAGATAGAATCAAATAAAGAGTCAAGGGTTGCAAAGGGAGAGCTTGGGTTGGTACTGACAGGATTAGTTGGAATAGCCGAGCCTTGTTGTACCTGAAATATGCCATAGCTATAATAAGTTTACAATAACATATTATAAAAAAAATGTATATATATATATATATATATATATCATTACTTACTTCATCAGAATCTCCAATTTGTTCACCAATTGAAGTTACAGCCAGGTTTGGGGAAGACACTGGAGACCTTGACTTTTGTCCTACTGATACTTCAATTTTGTCTTCATCTTCGATATGATCAGTAGAGATTTCTTGAATTGATTTTTGATCTGAGGAGACTGGAGCTTTCTGAAAATAATGCCGATTTAATTATATTTAAGGAGTAATATATATATAAGATCAGCCAACAAAGAAATTACATTAGGAGATTCGGTAGCAGGTTTCTTCTTCTTGGAGATGACTTCATCATCATCTGCTTCATCATCATCAATCAAATCAAAGTGTCTCTTGGCTCTTGACTTCTTGGGTTTCTTTCCTATGGTCTTCCTTCTTGTAGCTTTCTGGAAAAGAAGTTTAAGTAAGGGAATGGTATACATCAAAAAGGATATATATGACTTAATTAGGAGTATTACCTGAGTAGCTGAAGATGGGGGAATACTTTTTAAAGGAACATAGAAATCAATGTGAGTTTCTTCAGATTTGGTAGCAGATTTCTCGGGTGCATTGGAATATGTACCTAGAATTATATTATCCATTGTTAAGTGATTATGCAAACCAAACAGAAGTATTGTGGAAAAGACAAGGATAGAAAACTTACTTTGTCGAGAGGGAGATCTAGTCTTACCTGCATGAGCTGTAGGAGGAGGACGAGTTGGTGCAATATTTGGTATTTTCTTTGGCTCAGGAGCGGTAGTAAGATCAACGGGTTCAATGAAATCCACACCTTGAAAATTGAGGGATATGAATTTGTAAGAACCAAGGAGGGTGGACACAAGTTGACTGGAATCTACAGTCCTGGTAAAATTGATATATGAAGCCCACCAGGTTTCAAAGCTTGGATCTGTATGCGATTCTTCTAGAAAGGACTTGTACTAAAATTCTTGAAGATGTTTGGTAACCGATTGGTAACATCTTGAATCTGTTCACTGTTTGAGAGCTTAACCCGCTTGTGATAGTTCTTGTTGTAAGAAAAATGGGGAGGCACTGGGATCATTTGGGTTAATCCAAATTGCCAAGTTAACTGTGCTGGGTTGTAAAACTCAACCCCAGTTCAGCTCTTAGGCAAATTGGGAGCAACGGTATTGCAAGTTATATCCCTTGCAATCAAGAAATGGCCCTATGAAGTGATATAAAGGTCAATATGTTCAGGTGAAGACTCAGCAGTAAGAGGAAACAACCAAGATGGAGCTAGTTGACATTTGGAAAGAAGAAGGAATTGGGATTGAGTCCTGATCTTGCATTGATGATAGAAAAATTGAAAACAGTCATTAAAGGAATGGTCTTTGGGTTTGACTCTAGCATATCCGAAAGCTAGCAAAGGATCATTTGGAGTAAGCCGAATAGGAAGAGCTAGTTCAGGAAAATATGCATGCAACCAGAATTGGAAAAGCCAAAGTGATCCTCCAAACCTTGAAAAGTTGGACGTAATGAGGTCAGACAAGCCTCTGTATAAAGAAGCTAAGAGAAACGGAGTTAGTGCCATAGGTTTTCCTTTCGATAGCGCAATGGCTAATTGAGTAAGGTCCTTGGTGATCTGAATGGTAGGGGCACACAACAAATATCTACATAACCACAATAGTAGAAATCCTATATGTTCTTGTTCATCTACATCGGTCCCTTCTTCCCCTAACATTTCTTTTTAAAAAGGACCATGTGATTGTACATAGGGTTTAGCCCCTTTTTGTTCTGGAAAATAAAAAGAGATCCCTTCATCCTGAAGGAGATAATTGATTTAATCTCCCCCAGGCTTAAACCCCATTAAAAAATAGACATCCCTCAAGGTAGGAGCCATCATACCACAGTGCAAGTGTAGTGAATTGGTTGTGGGAGACCAAAAGTGTAAAGAAGCAAAAATAAGGCTCGGTCAAAAGTAAAAGGGATCTTACTGAGCTGGATGAGGTCGTAAATTCCCATCATTTTCCACTGTTCTCCTTTCGCTGCTGATACACGATCCACCCAGTCATTCCATTGGGGCATTGGTGGATGCCAATTTCTAACAGAGACGGTTGGTCTGTCTCCTTCCGCTATCAGATAGAGAGGTTTTGAGAAAGGAAGTTGTTGCTCGGCTTGGGGATAAATCGAGGATAACGAAGGGGGAAATCGATTAAGAAACGCTGGGCCAAGTCCTTTAGCGTTCTCTGTGATATCGATCAAGGTGGTGGTATTTAGGTCGGTAGGGGCTAGGGTTTTGATTACAGATTTTGTCATTTGGGTGTGTGATGTTGCTTCAGGAGAGGGATTTTCTAAGGTCAAATCACTTTGCTTCTGTGATTTTGAAGCCATAGTTGCAAGAAGAATTTGGTTGCAGACAGAGTTTTAGAAAGAGAAGAACTTTGATAGAAGGAGAGGATTTCGTTTGCAGAGTTTCGTTCAAATGAGAGAAGAGATGTGTTTTTAGTGGAAAGTGAAATGATCATCACAATGTAATTAATGTATAACAAGATGGGTTAGTGTGATCGGCATTTTTTGGAAATTTACTCCTGATATAACTCAAGGGATTATATGATATGTTTGTTATGTCCCAATGCAATGGGTGTATTCAAATTTTGGAAGCCGAAGGGTTAAAACGGCTACCAAAATTGGGGGGCATTGTTGACACCCATTTTGGCATTTGGTTTGTAGACCCATCTTTGGCCC